GGGCTGCAAACATGTCATTGTTGGGTAAAACAATTATTTTGGAATCTATTTTTCAAATGGACAATATGCTGTGCCCTTCATTTCTTAATCAATTGATGAGACTATTATCTCTATTAGCTAAAAGAGGCTCTGTTTAGTTACAGTCCATCACTCCTTTTTGAGACTCCTTTATTGTTAAAGGAAGAGGGTTGCTGGTGGCAGCTAAAATAAGGAAGTGTGGAGTATTTTTTCTTTCGAAATATATATTTTGAAATGTAAGGATAAAAGTTGTGATCTTAATTAACTACTTTTAAAATAATTTGTAGCTCTGTATTGTTTTGTTGTGGTGGCTGAAACTTTTCGATTTTTATGCAATCTGATTGGCTAGAAAAAGGATAAACAAACAAACAACATTCTTTGACCACTAGAGGGAGCTATGACAATGTTTTGAAAAGTCCAAACAGAAAATCATTTATACCATAAATCTGATATATATTAATCATACAAGAGTCACAATTAGGTGTAGAAAATCACAAAATTGCTGTGTCAACTTTACAAAGGCTAGACAAAGCAAATAATTTAATTGTACCTCTGAAACATAAAACTGACACCAGTTTTTTGTCTATGGAGATACTCAGTCATCCTGGTCATAGTTATCCCAAAGATGCTTTTCCACGAGGCAACTGGATTTTCTTGTTTTTCTTTGAAGATGTTTCTCTTCTCATCCAAGAAGTTCTTCAGCTCTGACTGGATGGTGGGGAATGGAAGGATTTATACTCCTTGCAGACAGCTGCTCATTTTTTGAACATCTAACAGAACAACTTTGGGATTTTTTTTTTAATGGATATAAATAAGGCTGAGAATTTCTTGAAAAAAAGAGACTTGACAGGAGTCTGAGAAAAAAAATATTTCATTTCATGAAGATAAGCTGGAGGGAGTGACTTAAATTTAAGAACTTAATTAGTTAGGCTGGATTTTTATAAGTTTGATATATATATTGAAGAAAGCTGTAAGGTAGTTTTGTATGTATAAAATGAGTTTGTAAATGCATGTCTTCTGTATTTTTGTGTAATGCTGAATAATTTCCAAAGTTTGTAAAATACAATTGATTAGATTTGAAAATAAGAGAAGAAAACGATTTACTCCATGGGGATAAATTCAAGAGAAAGATATGTATTCAATGAGCTAATTGGAGTTAATTGGACTTATATTGGTGTGACATATATATTTGAATGAAAGCTCTAATGTAGTATTTTGTTTTGGGTTTGGGGCTTAAAATGAAGGGGCTATTTGAATATTTTTTAAAGTTAGTAAAATATCAAAATTAGAAAACGCTTATTCTCCCTTTAGAGTTAAAAAAAAGATTAATGAGTTAACAGAAGCATATATTATTCCCTACAGCAAAGTGAAGCAGAGATGGTCAAACTGATTCTTTTATCCAAAGAACAGAATATATCTAACCTTGTTTCTATTTTGAAATTGCTTCCGAATTTTGTGCTTGCAATGAAAAAAGAAATGAAACTTTGATTTTGTTTTTGCTAATTATATAAGTTTATTGCTATAGAAATGGTTTCTACATATTGCTGTGTAAAAGTAAAAAGTTGTGGTTGTAATGTAACCTTCCACTGTGCTAAAGAGCAGAGGTTCAAAGAAAAACAAGAAACAAGACTTGGATGACTGAGACTATCGACAAACCCCTGGGTAAACTTTCTGGCTAGCAAACCATCACTCTTGTGATGGGCAGATGTGTTTAACAGAGGGTGGTAGGCTTTGCCATTTGCCCAAACCCATACCCCTGGTTCTGAAAGCAAATTCAGCACTATGTTGATCTGCAGGAGTAGGATTGAGCTTCACATAAATCTCTCTCACCTTATCAGACAGTGGTGATTATCCCTACTGTGTGGGCTTGTTCTGAAGTTGGCCCACTATCTGCTCATTAAAGCTTTATTGGTTTGTTTGTTGATTAAATTTATATGCTGCCCATCTCACTATCAAGCAATTCTGGGCAGCCTAAACAGTTGGATCGATGTTGCCTAATAGCTGGATCCTTGGACTTGGAGAGGTGATGGCTAGAACAGGAAAGTTTGGTTGGAAACTGCCAGCTTTCTAGTTCCCATAAGACAGTATCCCTGGAACGGGAGTGCCCAAGGGCCAGAGGAGAAGGCCCTGAGATGAGCAAAAGGTGCCAAGCTGATCCCATTTCCATATGTTCAATTGCTCACACAGCATCAGATTTGAAATCCACTGTTGGCTGCAGGGGGAAATGCTGCTAACTTTGGAGAACTAAGCATGACTATCCTAGTTATGGGTCAGGGATAGTCGAAGACAATACCATGGGAACATGGTAGAAAAGAAATTTCCAGGCGCAAGCATGGGAAGATCTTACATATATTGCTCAAGCCTGAGGAAAGTACCTGTTAAGAATACACTGGAAATGATTTATGAGCCAATGCTGAGTCATTCAAAGTGCTAGAAAAACTTCTGTCACAAACAGTGTGAAATATGCCAGCATGTACCACAGAGGATTAATGTCAAAATTTAAAAGGCAGGGATGGGTGATTCAGTTTTATCAATAAGTCATCTCAGAACAATACCTTAGAGGCCTGCCTTGTTTTCATAGAATGAACAAGTTTTGGAATGTTCTCAAGATCAAACTTTCTGCATTCCACACAGGGGAGAAGTGGGGTCAAAAAGTTAAGAAGAGGGATGTGACTATGCAATCAGAACCCTACCCACTTTTTGTGAGTGTGGTGTGCTTTCAAAGTTATAATTTTTCATTATATCTCATTTTCCCTCAAATGTCCTAAACTTTTTCTATAGCAGATATCTTACAGTTGGACTTTTCAAGGAAATAAATCCTAATCTACATAAAATGAACTCTCTCTGCTAATGCTTTTGATCGATAATTTAGCTTTTTCACAATAACACAAGGTCCTATTTCTACCATACTAGGACTTCAATGAAAGCCTTTTCATATATATCCTGTGTTAGACTATCATCTGATCTGTTGTTATTTAATACATATTAACAAATAATGTTTTAAGAATTATAATGAATGATGAAATGTAGCTTTTTGTGAGATGAAGATTCAAACAATTACATTTTGCTGCAGGAAATGGAAAATTATGCATTTCATTCTTGACAGTTCCAAATATTTTATGGAAATATTAAATATGTTATGCCAATCATGCAGGCTTCAATAGAACCACTAGGCATCAATGAAATAAGGGATTAAAAATGGGTATCATCTACAATTTTCTACAGACTTGAACAAATGGCTTATAGAAATAGATCCCAGGACTCCTTTCACACTTCTTTTTCCTCCACCATTTTAGGATACAAGCTGTGAGAGAACAAGTTCATTCGATACTAAAAGTTCATTGTGCATATTCTATTGCCTCTAAACTGTCTACCAAGATTTCCACAGGTAGCAAAGCACAAAAGGCAAGACCATATGATAAAAGCTCTGCCAGCCTCTTCCTTTCACCTCCCTCCCCTGGCCCCAAAGTCCCTCTTCTGCATTCTATCCTGGGAACAGGATGTGTTTTTCTTCTGTCATGCCTCATTTTATCATTTTTTGCAGAGAGTCTGCAAGTGGTCAAGAGACTCCAACTTAACACTTGCCAAATCTCTTCTTAGAACATGGTAACTCGTATTCTTCACGACTCAATCACATTATTCTGGGAAAGCATCTGGGAGAAATTAAGCTGCATCCCCAGGAAGAGGAAGTTTATTATGTTGACATTGTGTGCTAAGCCAAGCTTTACTTTCATCCTGGTTTGTTAAATAAACCATAGTAGCTTGCAAACCACAATAGCTAGAGATACTATGCTGTAGGCACAGTCTGGGCTCTGCCACTTGTTCTCTTCTCCGCCTTTCCCTTGGTATCCAGGGGTACAGGTGATTGAGGACACAGGCCTAAAACCTCCCATCCAATTGCCAAATCATTTCACATTTCATAAGCATTGGGCGTGGCTGCCTCCTTGGTGCCTTACCTTTTCAAGAGGCAGAGACCAAATCCAGATTTCATTTGTGCAAAGCGGAATGCCCAGATTTAATTTCTGTCAGCCAAACGTGTGAAGAGGCAGCAGAGGTATGTCCCATGCTTGAAATATTTGTTTTTTGCTTTTTTTTCTCACTGTGCTCTGAGAATGGAAGGGATGCCTTTTGCTTGAGAGAACATTTGGCTTCATTGTTTGGGAGTAAGCAAGTCTCAGTTCTCACTTCATTTCCAGCCTATTGAGAGCTCCTCTCTTTCATTGTAACCTGGGAATTAGAGGGTTTAAATAACAAACAGGCACTCTCAATATTAATTAAAATTTGGATGGATTTGCACATAGAATCATGATTTCTTTAAAAGAAGCAAAAGACATTCACACTTTCTAAAACTAATACTGCTTTGCAAGTTGTGGTTACCTGTAATTTTATTTTTGGCCACGTTTTCAGTTGCATGATAGTTCTAACTAACTAATTTCCTGTTGTTTATTTATGAATAATGAGTACATATACATTTGAAGTTTTCAGAACAACCTCTAAAAGGAGAATAAAAAAAACAAATTGTCTGGAGTTGAATTAATGCATAAAATGTTCAATTCCATAGGGATTGAAGAAGAAGTTTAATAGAGTAAATGATAGTTTAAACTTTCTCATGTCAGTTACAAGGAAATACATGCAGGTTTATTGACAAAGTAGCAAAGTTCCGTTCTCCTTAGGCAGCTGGATTGGGCTTTCCTCAGATTATTCAAGGTGCTAGAAGTAAGGATATCTGTGACACATTTCCTCCACTTGACACTGGAGATATCAGTGAGATATTCTGGCTCAGAGACATAGATAATTGCTTGAATGTGATTTGATGTCTCAAAATTTATCCTGGATGTCAGGTCTTTTGCAGAAATATTGCAGTTACAGCTATGGATTTGGTAGAAGAGCTGTTTAATGTAAAATAGATGTAATTAAACAAAATACACATGTATTAAATTTGTATGCTGCTTGACTCCTAACAACTCTGGATGGCTCATAAGTAAAATAAATGCAATAACAAATATAAATAAAAGATCAAAGATGACAAGAATTGGTCAGAAATGAAAAAAGAAAAAAAAACCACACAATCCAAGGGGCCTGTACAAAGAATCAGGTCTTCTTAAAATCCCTTCAAAAAAACAGCAGGTTGGAAGCCATCCAGATCTCGGGTGGAACCTCATTCCAGACGTCAGGGTTGCTATCAGTTTCCAGTGTTTTTTTTGCAACTTTACTTGAGTCCAAAAATTTGCATGGAAGGGTTGACATTTGAGATTATTTGTCCACCTGTACATTTTGACTTTTAAAATTTCTTATCTGCAAAAACAATATTTTTAATTTTTCATCTTATAGGTGGAAAGATAAATTGGGACAAAACAGAAGCATGGTCAAACATTCATCTGAATAAGAGTTATAAGCACAAGCCAAGAAAAATATTTTTCCTGATCAGTCATTTAGACCTTCTCACATCTTCAGGGACAGATTGCTAGTTAATTTGTTAAATTATTCTTACAGGCATCATCCAAACTCGTATACATTATCAAAACACGCAGGTCTGTATGGAAGACATAAAGTTCATTGTGTCAACCATGACACATTGATTATAGCAGAAGGCGTAACAAAGCCTGGGGTGAGGTCAAAAGTGGGATCAGCCTAGAATCCCTATGTAGCCACAAACTTACTAAGTCCAGCCCACTATGAATTCCGTTGATCCTTATCTAACTTCTAGGAGGTGCTAACTATTAAATAAGAATATTCCTGTGGTAGGCATGAACAATAAATCTGTTTAATTGAAACTCCACATATGCTCCAGGTTTTAAAAGTGATTCTCCCAATCCCTGTGAGGAATTGGCTGTGCTATCAATTAAAGAATAGATAATACATATACTAAAAGTTTATTTATTTAAGTTTATAAGGCTGCCCAATTCTACACTGATACTAGACAGCACACAATAAACACCAGCAAAATGCAAACAATGTAAATGGGAAATTCCACATATACAGAAAAAAAAATCTACTTAATTTATGCATCATAGCAACATCATTTATATTACTTTAAAAATATTTTCTACTAATTTCAGAAAGGAGATAAAAAAGTAGATAAACTTGTGAACTATACAAAGTGCTATTGGTATTGTGGAAAAATAATTTTATTTTGATATTCTTGTAAAATTAGAATAGAATAGAATAGAATAGAATAGAATAGAATAGAATAGAATAGAATAGAATAGAATAGGAGCTGGAAGGGATCTTGGAGGTCTTCTAATCCAGCCCCCTGCTCGAGCAGGAGAACCTATATCGTCTCAGACAGATGAATGTCCAGTCTCTTCTTAAAAATCTCCAGTGATGGAGCACCCACGATTTCTGGGGGTAAGCCGTTCCACTGGTTGATTGTCCTCACTGTCAGGAAATTTCTCCTTAGTTCTAGGTTGCTTCTCTCTTTGGTCAGTTTTCAACCATTGTTTCTCATCCTTCCATCTGGTGCTTTGGTGAACAACCTGGCCCCTCTGCCTTGTGGCAGCCCCTCAGATACTGGAACACTGCTATCATGTCTCCCCTATTTATTCTTTTCCTTAGACTAGCCAGACCCAAATCCCGTAGCCGTTCTTCATATGTTTTAGTCTCCAGGTCCCTGATCATCTTAGTTGCTCTTCTTTTAATTTTTTCCAAATTCTCAACATCTTTTTTGTGATATGGTGACCAAAATTGGCTGCAATATTCTAGGTGTGGTCTTACTAGGGCTTTATAAAGCAGTAATAGTATTTCTCATGATCTTGATTCTATGCCTCTGTTTATACAACCCAGGATTTTGTTAGCTTTTTTGGTTGCTGCTGCACACTGCTGGCTCATAGTCAAGCGATCATCTACTAGGATTCCAAGGTCCCTCTCACAGTTACTCTTTTTGAGCCAGGTCTCGCCCAATCTGTACCAGTGCCTTTGTTTTTTCCTGCCTAAATGTAATACTTTGCTTTTCTCCACATTGAAACTCATTTTGTTGGATAGGGCCCATTGTTCAAGTTGGTCAAAAAAAAATTGGATCCTGAGTTTGTCTTCTGGGGTGTTGGCTACTCCTGCCAGTTTGGTGTCATCTGCAAATTTGATGAGTTTCCCTTCAATTCCCTCATCTAAGTCATTGATGAAGATATTGAAGAGTACTGGCTCTAAGACAAACCTTGTGGTACCCCACTGCTTACTTCTCTCCATGTGGATGTAGTGCCGTTGAGGACTACTCATTGAGTACGGTTTGTCAGCCAGCTGCACATCCATCTGGTGGTGATGTTTATTTTCATTCAGTAAAGTCTGCTTCGATTTGAGCTTGATTCCAAGTTACACTATGTATATGTTCAAGTAGTTTTCTGGACAACAAAACAGAAATGGTTTGCTATTGCTTTCATCTAATCCAGGGAACTGGGTTTCCTGGCAGTTTCCCATCAGAGTGATAATGATATCTAACTCCTGCTCTGATTTTCAAGATCAGTTAGTTCAGTGTTTCTCAATCTTGCCAAGATTGAGCCAGATAGTTAATAAAGTTCAATTTATCCAATCAAATGCTTCTTCATATCTGGTAGAATCATTGACTGGATCTGATTAATATTAATATAATCCTTATTGAAATGTAAAAATCAGTAACAAAGTTGCAAAGAGAGAGAAAATGTCATTTGAGCAATGAGTGAGATAGTTTTGTATGAGAGAATAAAATATAATTCTTACAATTTTTTAAACTCACCCAATCAGTTTAATGACCAATCTGCTCCAAACAGCATCAGTGGCATCTTGCCAGATTTAAACGAAGCAGGGAAACTAAAAGATAATTATTACTGATGATAAATTTATTTCTTTGTTTGTCTTTCTGGAGTGAATGCATATATTTACCCACGAAGAAAGTTCTGTTTGGAATAATGCCAGAATCACCCAGGATGTTCTGCTGCCTTTTTATGGTTGGTGAGTATAATTATGCACGATTACTATAAAATTCTCATTAAACGCTTCTATAGCTGCTCTGTGAAATTCTAATCCAGATTCTGTTTTATGATTTAGAATCTTCATCTTCTCCTCTGAGATATGTGCATGCTAAAGTTGATTATGCGTTCTAGAAACAGGGGGTTCTAAACTTTTTCCCATTACACCTCCCTTTAATGTAATCTTAATGGACACACCTTGCCTAAAAACACAAAATGAACACAAATGAACAATGGAAATTTGGGGGAAGTGGATTTATTGTAAAACTGTACAGTTAAAAGATTCTTCAAACCTCCCCAGACTTTGTCTGCAGCTCCCTAAAAAAGATCCTCCTTGCCATTTGGGAAACCTGCTCTAGAGGAAAGGAAGTTTTTATTCTTCTTTGTGTGTTCCAAATAAATCAATGAACATTGTGTGATCAGAAAACACAAGAAATACATATTTAAGCAAGAGGTTTTGTTTATTATTCTTAAAAAATGGTATAGCAGAGAATATTCCAGTTATTTGGCTTTGCAGAGAAAGGCAACCTTACTATAGCTTTTCAAAAAAATGTCTTTAAGACAAAACCAATGTCTTATATTTTAGGTTGTGCAATAATGCTCACTCCCAGTGGTGCACTGAAATCCCTGGTAAGTATTGCATTTCTGTATAGTACTTATATTGCCTACAGACATCTATATTCCTCTCAAATGAGAGGCAGAGAGCCAAACAGTGTGAGGTATTTGACTGTGCTTATTTACCTATTCAAAAGATGTATATGGCCACCCATCCTAAACAGCTCTGAGCAGCTCAGAACAACTATAAAACCAGTGACTATACAGAGAAACAATAAAAAAAAAATCCTTACTCATTCCATTAGGATGCCTCACAGGATTATCCTCATTCCATTTTTCCCATCTTATCCCCTTAGGAAAAGGCAGGTTTTGATGTCTATGGGGATTTCCAATCATCCAGATCATGGTTGTCCCAAAGGTAGTTTTCCAAACGGCAACTGGATTTTGTTTTTGCTTCTTGGAAAAGAAGTAAAATACTTTCAAGGAAAAAACAAAGAAAGTCCAATTGCCTTTTGGTAAAGCACCTTTGGGAGAGGTCTTGATGGTCTTCTGAAAGGGTAGGGCATCCACAGAAAAGGTACACTTCCAAGGTCCCTCTTAGTTGGCAGAATTTTAGGGAAGGGATCTGGAATGTGCCTACACTTTCTGATCTATTAGACAAGTGGATACTCTTAGGGAGAGGTGGTCCCACAAGTAACCAGGACCTCTGCCATCTAGGACTTGAATTGAACACAGAAGGAAACTAGAAGACTGTGCAGCTCACACAATAAAGCAGATATGTCAAACACAAGGCCCACGGGCCGGATCTGGCCCAATATGTGGTTCCGTCCGGCCCGGGGACCTGCTCTGGAAAGAGCGAAGGACCGGCCCGGCCCAGGCTGACCGGGCGCTGATCTACAACCTGGTTGCGTCCATCAAAGCCAGAACGCACTCAGCCTTAAATCCACGGGGAAGCCCCACCCTATTTTCTGGGTGTGCACATAAGTGGAGTCCGGCGTCCCTGCTGGCTGTCTTGTCCCGCAGGCTGACTTCACCCAGGATGCTGGTGCTGGCCGTCTCCTGTGCGCATACCGGGGAGCAGGGCAGAGGTGGCAAGGCAGCTCCTTGCTGGTTCCAGTAAATCTTAGTCTGAGCTCGTTCTGGCTTTGATGGACGCAACTAGGTTGCGCCACCCCCACCAGCACCACCAGCCTTGCAACCACAAGGCTTTCCTTTCACCGGGACAGACCCCCCCCCACGTGGGATAGCAAGACTGGTGGCAATCTCTCCCTTCCCATCACCCCTTCCTGAGCATGGAGGAAGGAAAGAGATGAGAAGGCAAAGGAAGGAAAGGAGGGAGGGAGGAAGGAAGGAAGGAATGAAGGGAGGGAGGAAGGAATGGAGCAACAGAGGGTGGGAGGAATGGAGGGGAAAAAGGGAGAGGAAGGAAGGAACAGAGGGTGGGAGGGAGGGAGGAAGGAAGGGAAGAAGGAAGGAACAGAGGGAGGAATGAATGGAGGGTGGGAGGGAGGAAGGAAGGAACAGAGGAAGGAAGGAAAGAAGGGAAGAAGGAAAGAACAGGGAGGAAGGAATGGAGGGTGAGAGGGAGGAAGAAAGGAAGGGAGAAAGGGAGGGAGGAAGGAAAAAACAGGGAGGGAGGGAGGAAGGAACAGAGGAAGGAAGGGAGAAAAGAAAGAACAGAGGGAGGAAGGGAGGGTGGGAGGGAGGGTGGGAGGAAGGGAGGAAGGAACAGAGGAAGGAAGGAAAGGTGGGTGGAAGGGACCATGTCCCTCCTCCGCCGGAGACCCTCAGATCTGCCCCAGTCCTGTCCAGGCACCCCTGAAGCGAATGATGTTGAGATGGCCACACCCACCCAGTAGGCCACACCCATCCTGGCCACACCTGCCCCGCCCCCGAGGGCAACCACAATGTTGATGCGACCCTCAATGAAATTGAGTTTGACACCCCTGCAATAGAGGTATAACATGGGCAAATATATGACTACCTTGCTGCCTTCTGGACCAGGTCTATAATAGAGGTGGCCAAGCTCACAGTCACAAAGATTCTGTTCACCTCCTCAGGATCAACCAGCTCAAACTTCTCACAGATAACAGGGCTCAAATATGTCTCAGTCATTTCCAAAGGATCAGCCAAGCATAGTCCAACATTCAAGCAAAGTCCACTATTTATATTTATATATTTATATAACATGGATTTATATGCCGCCCTTCTCCCTATAGGACTCAGGGCGGCTTACAGCATATTAAAACACTTAAAACATCATCCCCCCATAAAAACCTGTTAAAAACCAAATATTTTTTTCGCTGTATAATTAATTAAAATTAAATTAAAAATTGTCCCTATTTAAAAATTCTCCCTAGGCCAGACCCGCTTGTTGAAAAAGCCATGTCTTGAGGGCGCGGCGAAAAGGTAGGAGGTCCGGAATCGTCCGGATCTCGGGGGGTAGTTCGTTCCAGAGGGTGGGGGCACCCACAGAGAAGGCCCTCCCCCTGGGGGTCGCCAGCCGACATTGCTTGGCCGACGGCACCCTGAGGAGGCCCGCTCTGTGGGAGTGTACCGGTCTGTGAGAGGGAATCTGTGGCAGAAGGCGGTCTCGGAGATATCCACAATTCCACACCACTATTCATTATTTTTGGAATAAAAAGACAGTTGGGGTTCCATAAACTTCAAAGGTTATTAAATAATAATAAAAATCCCTGGAAAATCTCCCTGTGATTAAACAGAATTAGGCTTGTCCATGTTTTGATATAATGATATGGAAGTAGCTGCTTTTGCTTTCTTCTGGGATATTTTTAAGTTTCCTTGTCTAGACTATTACACTAGTCTCCTAAATATTACTGAGGATCTGACATTGCTTAACCTTCTAGATTAGCCAAGGAGGGCCAGGGCAGCTACCTGATGGGTTCCTATTCCACACATTTTTTTTACAACATTCCAGAATTGGCTTGCCATTGTCACTGTTTTCTTTAGGGATGTGTTTTCAACTTCCCATTTTATTCTTAGTACTAGAGTTCTTGGTAGTCTCCCACTCAAAGAATAGCCGTTCTAATTCTGGTCTTCCTTAGAAGTCCATTTCTTCCATCAGGAGCAAAGTATCAGGTCCACACATGAAAGTCCAATTAAACTGTTTTTTTATTACTCATGCCTATGTACAGGAATATTCTCAACTAAGGGTTAGCATCTGTTAGGAGCTAGAGAAGGGTCAACAGAAATTCAAGGGAGTGGGTGGGTAGGTTGGACTTGGTCCACTTGTGGCTATGTAGGGATTCCAGGCTAATCTCTCTTTTAACTCTAACCCCAGGTTCTGGCATTTTTTTCTCCTACATCTTCTGAGCAACCATGGTTCCGTACATTTCCAACTACCATAGATAGTACCATGTAGTATCTATTTTACATGTGAGCTTCTTCTGAGTGCCCTGCACGTTTTATTTATAAGTGAAGAGAGGCAACCCAAGGATTTCTGTGGCATTCTAAGCAGTGCTTTTTTTGTAAAAAAAAAAAAAAAAAAAAGGTGCCGGAACTCACACATCATACAACTTGCCTTGCCTACCCTACAAGGTTCCATCCCAAAAAGGTGCCGGAACTCCGTTCTGGGCATTCTATGACAAAAAAAGCCCTGATTCTAAGTGTCCAAACTGGTTCCTCCTCACTGGTAAAATCAAAGAGAGATGGGTACAGAGGCACAGGGACTTAGAAGCGTGCCACTTCCCCAGTCCCCTTCTCCTAAAGAAAAGCAAAAGTGAAGGATGTTGAAAGGGAGAGGAGAAGGTAAGACTGGCTGGGAATAATCTAAATGTTTTATTTCCAGTGCTTAAATTGGCCATACTCAAAATGACAGCCATTCCAGGAGAGCAGCTGTCACATGCTCTCAATAGTCTTCTAGGCCCCCTTCTACATGGTCGTCTTCTGTTCTGAATCAACTGAGTCAACTGATCCTAATCCTGGATCCCAGTATTCTGGAAAGTATTCCTAAGGTACAATAGAAAAAAACCAAACAGGAGAATTATTGATTTTCCACCAGGACAAAGAAAGTCAAAAAAACAAAATGAGCTTAGAGGCAAAATCAGTATGTTTCAGGTACCCATGACTGAGCCACAACTCTGATCAGCTATAAAGACCCACTTCAATCCCACATCTTAAGAAAGCAGAACTCTTGGAGATGGTTTCCTCCAACAGGAACTTTTATTAAAAGTAGTTGATAGCAGGCATAATAGACAGGATCTGAGGGATTCCTTTGCAGATCGATACTTTAAAGTGTTCCCAAGCAAACCCCACCCCACAGTTCATCCAGACGGTTCAAACCAGCCAATCCCCAGGTATTAAGTCCATCGTGGGAAAGGGGAGATAACATCGGTCTGGCTCCAGTCATAGCATGCTGTTGAAGCAGGTCTCGCGCCTCCTTTTGAGAATGGAGAAATAAGTCAGGGTCCGGAGGTTGTATTTCTTTCTCCCCCCACTTTTCCTAGCTGACAGGATAGGGAGCAGAAAGTTCAGAGAGAGATACAGTGCAGGAAGGAAATTATTACATTGTAGCGGGCAGCAGACACAGAAGCAATAAATGAAGCAAAAGGTTACATTGTAGCGAATAGAGGAAGGGAAAGCAATAACCCCGCTGGCACATCCCCCCTCCCCCTTGGGAGTATGGCAGAACCCAGGGGAAGGTGAGATTTGTTTTTAGATCAGAGGGGATAGATAGAAAGGAATGGGTTCTGACATCAGCTTTTGAATATGATTCATTTCCAATTGCACCATTTTCAATAGTAATCTGTGAATGTCAACTTCAAGGGAAGGTCTTTTGTCACAGGATGGCAAATGGTAAACCAGCAATCTCAGAATTAATAGCATAAAAATTAGAATTAAAATTATCAGAGAATAAATGGTAGAGGGGGTTGAAGCTGCAGGAAGTTTGGGGGAGAGTGACCATGTCATATTAGAATTCATTATAATGCAGACACAAGCAACAGAACATAATCAAACTAGTGTCTTAGACTTTAAAAGAGCAGATTTCAACAGACTTAGAGAGAATTTGGGAAGGATACCATGGGTGACAATCCTAAAGGAAAAAACTACTCAGGAAGCTTGAGAAACTCTGAAAATTGTGATTATAAAAGCTCAGTTTAGTTTAGTTTAGTTTAGTTTAGTTTTATTAAATTTATACCCCGCCCTTCTCCCGGAGGACTCAGGGCGGCTTACAGCCAGCTTAAAAACAATAATACAATATAATACAAAATTTAAAAGTAATTAAAAATAGATATTCAATAGGCCGCTTATACTAAAAATTTTGTTAAAACCAATTTAAAATACCCCTAGGCCAG